TGTCTTCCGTCACTACGCTCTCCAGGAGGGAAGGGGCAGCTCCGCATTGCCTTTCTCGGAGGAATCATTCGATTCACTGCGTGACGACTCTGCGTTTAAGAAGGCGGTGGCGTCGTCCCGCGCATAGCGTCCCGCCACAGGAAAAAAAAAATCACTCAGCGGAGCTGCTGCAAACGCCTTTTTTGAGGGAATCATCCGATTTACCTCGAGAAAAAAACCACGTTAGAAAAGGCGGTGGCGTCGTCCAGCGAGTAGTGGCCCTCCACGGAAAAAACATTCAGCGGAACTGCTGCTAACTTCGCCTTTTTCAAGGAAATCATTCAATTATCGTGAGGACAAAACACGTTAGAAAAGGTGATGGCATTGTCCAGCGGGTAGCGGCTCGCCACGGAAAAGCACTCCTCGGCGCTTACCTTGAACAAGGCTGTTCGTCTCTGCTTCTCCTCGTGGAGGAAGAGCTCACCGGGACGGCAGGAGGTTGGCGTGGCGGAGACCCAGGCAGCCTTAGCAAAGGTTGTGCCAATCAAAGCTGGACAACTTTTCCTTCTTCGTTCTTCTGACAGTGCTAGCTAGCTGGCTGAAGAAAGAATGGGAGCCGATTACCCGGTCTCACCGTAATTTATACGGACCGGGGGTGAGGCCCACACACAGCAGGAGGGCGTGGACTTAAGTTTTCAGTGCAACGCTGAGCGCCTAGGGATAAACCCACCAGCGACAGTCTTAAAGGGCAAAGCCTATACGAAATAGAACAAGACTGCACATCAGGTAGAATATACTTTTCTTAAACATGCAAGTATTTTAGGTGGCAGCCGGTAAGATACCGTAATACAGCTTTGAAGAAATCCAGTTCACCCCTAGATTTCAGCTGCTTTTAAAAAAGAAGTACACATATATATCATTGATGTAAGTAGAACCAAAAAGTAAAGTTGCGTGAGGAACAAATGCACTCATATTGACTACAATTTCAATTAAAAGCATGGATACAAAGCAACATTTTGTTGTGAATATTATATTGTTCCCCCCCCCCAGTAATGCAGACAAGTAAACCGTTGGTGTCTTAAAATAATATTTTCAATCTGAATCATGAGGGAGACTTATGCAGACCAGTAAATATTTGTTTTTGTCAGTGTAATGTGCTGCTTTTTTAAAGAATGAATAAATATATACAGTTGTCAGAAATGATTGTTTCAAAACAAATAATGTGAAAATATTGTAAATATGTTCCTATATTGCACAGATATTACATACTTAATGTTTTATATTCATGGTTTAGGTGAACTTTATGATATTCTAGGCTTTTTGAACATTTCTCACTCGGTCGATTTTGATGTTCTGACATCTGAGTGAGGTTAATTTTTATTCTTGGCCAGATCTGCTAAAGAGCGCAAGGTCCGCATCTGGAAAGACTACGTGGCGCCCACAGCCAACTTGGATCTAAAGGACAGACAATTTGTTGCCAAGGTAAGGTCTTAAACTAACTTTTATTAGCTGTGTCTCTTTTACTGACTTTTTTATTGCTTAATTTGCTCTTAAAAGCATTTTTTTGGCCTTCAACTTGGTTTTCTTTTTACAGATGAAGACCCCCATTTATAAATAAAAATAGAGTAAGGGCAGGTGTGGGATATGAACTGTTCCTCATGACTTGAGCTGTAAAACAGTGCGAAAAGTAAACCAGTTGCTTTCTTTTCCCATTTTACGCCGTCCTTTCAGCATGGGAACAAAAGTCGGGGAAACTATTAGGCTTTGAAACAAAGATCATGCATTTTATTTCACTACTTACAGCTTTTATTGAATTCAAAAAAACAGTTCAAAGAAGGTAGAAAAATTCTTAACAACAATCTTAAAGCTACTCGTTTGGTAATTTGTAGTCCAAATTGCTGGGTGAGGTGACATCACAACCCCCAAAAGCTGAGATTTAGAAATATTGACTTTAAATGTTATTGTCAAGAGCCTCGGATAAAGGGAAGTGTCTAATATCAAGTAAAGGGGGATGTGGACTTCCATCTGTCGGAACATATTAGTTTAAACTAGAGAAGATTGACTGCTTGATCCGTTTTGGTAGCAGGGTGTAATATAATTGTCACAATAAGATCACATATTATAGGTTCTGACTTCCAGGTTGTCACTTTAACTTAGTTAAGCAACTCTAGCCTTAAAACATTAGCATCAAAATGTTCCCCTCTGAGAACACTTTCAATTGTCAAAGATAAAGCTTTCACTTTGCTCAAAGTATATTTAAACAAACTAAAATGGTGAATGCTTTTATATTAAAGTTTGCTCTTTGTCATTGTTAGCTCCCTCCTGGCCCTGAACTTTTTAAGAGCTTTAAAAATTCATAACCTGCCTTAAGGTTACAGAAAAGGTGTTGCTTCGGCAATCTGCTTACAGAATGAATTTGATCAAATCCAGACAAAGACAAAAAGCCAAATGAAATGTTGCATTTGTTTTTTCCCCGAGTTGTAGAGAAGATCGAAGGGATGAAACAAGACATGAAAACTTAAATTTTATATTTAAAATGCATGCATCCAAGGGTTTTTGCTACTTCAGTTTTGCACTGCTGATTTAATTCGGTTTTTGATCTCTGTGGGGCACTTCTTTGTCTTTTGGTTTTGCTGTTGTCATCTTAGTTTAAGAGATTGGAAAGCTATTTGCAACTTCTGGGACACTGCTATGAGTGAGCCATGACTTTGCTGTGTTATCATCTTTGAGAAAAATAGTTAAATTAAATTCAGTTTATTTATATAGCGCCAAGTCACAACAGAAGTCATCTCAGGGCACTGAACAGAAACATTCATATACATATAAAATAATTTAACATTATTTATCTGAAGAGCAGACTGCTTTGAATTTAACTTAATCGCAGAACTCTCATCTTGAGCAAGCATGAAGGTGACAGTGGAAAGGAAAAACTCCCTCATGAGGAATAAACCTTTAGCAAAACCAGGCTCAGGACAAGTGGTCATCTGCTTCGACCAGCTGGGTTTGAGAGGAACAGATACACAATGGCAGGTCAAGAATTACATGTTAAAATAAAAATAGTATCAAATGAAAACTATTGAATTTTAGAACAAAGTCCATGCTCAATATTCAATTTTAGCAAATAATTTAAGGAAATTGGGTCAATTTGTCCTCTAGTTGTCTAAGCCTATAGCAGCATGACAAGCCAACCCTAACTATAGGATTTATCTAAAAGGAATGTCTTAATCCCAGTCTTAAAACTGGGCAATGTTTCATCCTCATGGACAGAAACTGGAAATCGGTTCCACAAGAGAGGAGCCTGATAACTGAAAGATCTTCCTCCCATTCTTCTTTTGGAAACTCTATGAACCTCAAGTAAACCTGCAGTCTGAGAACAAAGTGCTCTGTTAGGAAAATATGGAACAGTAAGATCTGTAGTAAAAGATGGAGCTAGGTTGTTGAGAGCTTTGTAGGTTAGAAGTAAGGTTTTGAATTTGATTCTGGATTTGACATGGAGCCGTTGGAGAGAAGCTAAAACTGTAGAGATATGATCTCTCCTACTAACTCCAGCTAAGACTCTGGCAGAAGCATTTTGGATCAGTTGAATACTTTAAATAAGTATTTGGACACCCAAATAATAAACCATTGCAATAGTCCTGTCTAGATGTGACAAATGCATGAACCAGTTTTTCTGCATCATTTTTAGAGAAGATGTTACCAATTTTAGTGATATTACACAGGTGGAAGAAGGCATTTACTAGAACATGAGGACTCAAAGTTGTTCTCAGTGGTGTGAAAAGTCTAGCTATAAATATATGAACTCGAAAGTGGTCGAGAGTTTTCTTGGGAGGACGTCATGCTGACTCTGCTGCTGGTTGATCCATCTTAAAGCTCAGTGCACATCGGCTAGTCATAAGGTTACACAGGCCTGTGATTGCCCCACTCTACTTGGCCCCCGGTGGCATTTGTCGTGAAGTAATACTGCAGCGTTTCGACTCTTGGAAGGACACATCCATCAATCCCACCATCATCTACTCCTCCCTTCTCGCCGTCCACTCCACTTTTCACTTCTTATTACCTGAGTGACGGATAAATGGAGAGGTAGAGCAAGTCCAATTCCCACAAGTCAACTGAGCTGACGTGTTTTCCTTTTTGACTTTGTTGTCTCTCCCCTCTTGTCTCTGCTGGCCCTAAGGATGTAAGCTGTGCTCTGGTATTCCCCTTTTCCATTTTTCCGGGTAACTATCGACTTGTGGAATGGCAGACTAAGGTCATCTTGTGTAAATTGTAGTATCCGTTGCTCATCATTTGTTTTGATCAAAACCAAATCATCCCCTCGATTCTACGCTTGTCCGATTCCTCTATATTTGTTTCCCTACACAGACTGCGGGAAGTAGTGGTGTGCAGATTGATCCAAATATTGACATTATTGATACCAACTCTAGCATCGTATTGATACTGTCATGATGGGTTCAATACGCAAGTTTGTTTTTCCTCTCTACTTCCAGTATGTTGCTCCTGCTCCAGAAGTGCAATGAAAGGGAAAATGTTTTGCATTTATTTTGTTTCTAAACTAAAACTAAGAAGAATGTAGATTTTGAAAGATTTATTCTCCACCTTCTACTGATTAATTTAATTTGAATTAATTCAGTAAATACAGCAATTTATTTTTTTGGCTAGAAACTTGGTCTAAAATTTGTCCAGTGTTTTAAAAAGTAATTTAATGGCTAATTAGTAGTGCAAAGTACAAACAAGCAATTTACTAGTTATGAAAATGCAAAATGTGATATGACTCTCCTATGTAAAACTGTTTAAGCTGCCCTTAAATTGTGAGAGTACTGGATCATTATCAGTGATACTAGTCTTGTTTGTATTGGATTGATGCCACTGTTTGCAGTGTCATACACCCCTAGACAGTCTTGTGATTCAAATTATCACTTGTTTTTTAGTGAATTCAGCCTAGTGCTTTGTTTACACTGAGTGCGTACCAGCGTTTCAGAATTGCATATCAGTATATCTGAAAAGTACTTGAGTAAATTGCAAATTGAGAAGCATTGAAATGAAATATAGAGAATTGCGCCGCTCTTGGTGGCTGCATGTTGGAGTAGCTCTGTTACTTTCATTGAGTTATTGCTTTTGAAAACTTTATTTCCTCTTTGTCTGGCTGTAAATGGCTTTTTTTTTTGGACAGTTATTTCCTCTGGTATTGGATGCTGTGCAGCTGGAAGGATTTTTACTGAAAGCTTTTTATGTTTGGGCATTTGTTATGATGCGTAACCCATGGCAACAAGGTGTTTTTTTAAACAACCAGGAGCAGCTGATTAACATCTCAAAAGCTCAAATACCTCAACTACAGCCCCTAATCATGAGTTGAAAAGGAGGCGGCATGGACGAATTCACATCAACCTGGGGGCGGTGCTCGAGTTCCTGACCGCCGAGATCTGGGAGCTGGTGGGAAACTCTGCCCGTGACAACGGGAGGACCAGGATCATCCCCCGGCACCTTCAGCTGTCTGTCCATAGTGACGAGGAGCTCTGCAGGCTGCTGGGAGGAGTGGCCATCGCTCAGGCAGGAACTCTGTCTGGTATTTGGGCAGTCCTGCTGCCCAGGAGGACCGAGAGGCCCACCAGATCTGACAGCAAGCTGGATCTGCGTGGACAGATCGTGTCTGTGGCCAGATTCTTTGGATTCGCTGCAGGAGTTCCTTCCTGCCCACAGCTATCAGCTTCTAACAACTCTTGAATGGAACCAGGATGATGAGCTATGACGACACTTAATTTCCCTTTGGTATTAATAAAGTACTTTTGAGTTGAATTGAATTAAACACTTTGAAACTGCACCAATATAATGCAGTTGATCTACCACAGTTTGATCCACTGTGGCCATAGCTGCTTCAGCCGAGTCGGCGGGGGAGAGGGTGGACTCCAGAAACCATCTTATCACCATCAAACTGGTTGGCCTACTATGTGAGTGTGCTACTTATGGGACTGAGTTTGTTGTGGCTCCTTGAACTGATGAAGTCCTTTAGATGAAAGACAAAACGTTTCAACAAATGAAAAAGAAACCGTCCAGAGGACCTGACTTAACTTTGTTGGATTGTTTTACCTGGATTATTGAGCATGGATTTTGATGCACCTGTATAATTTAGGATAACCTTTTTTACGGTTGTTTTCGTGGTCTGCAATGAATATGTTTAGCACAAACTTTGAATGCTCAGTGGCTGTGCTGAATTGTTTTCGTTCCATCAAAAACATTGCAAGTTTACATAAAACTCTGTAATTTGGCTGATAAAATGATTTCACTGGCAGCAACAAAGAAACTCGAAGCATAGGTGGTGCTTCCAAGGGAGGTGATACAATTTCTCTGAGTAAGTCCTGGCAAAGCCTTGCTTGTCCCTGTGGTTAAAACCAACTTAATAGATTCGAGTGTCAACCAACACATTCCTTGTTGGTGGCCAAGATCCTTCCTGCGCAATGACTGATCTTGGCTGCTGCAGTTGTCATGTCGTCCTCAGGCAGAAGGTGGCAGTAGCTCCCCACCTCTGCTGTATCGGATTAGACAAGTGACTCATGCAGCCAGCCTATTTGTCTTTCCTGCCTGCTCGCTCGGCCCTCGTGGCAGCTACTTTCTGCTCCATTTTTCTATCTATTCTCCATCTTTTCATCTGTCTCTGTTCCTGTGATATTTGCTCTGAGATTACACTCTGTCTCCCCGCCTTGCTCCATCTTTTCTGTTCCTTCTACCCTCCTGTGCGTTGATTTGCCCACCCTCCCCTCTTTGCGTCTCTCCTCTTGCCTCCTCGGACTGATAATTAGCCTGTAAATGCTGAGCCATTTTTATTCTGTTCCTGCCACGTTCTCTCTCTTGCACTTTATTTACTTGGGCAGGCCTCAAAATGACCTTGTTACATTGAGAAGTTGTGTAGGCTTGCTGTGTGTATGTGTGTCTCTGTGACTGCAAGACCCCCTCCCTTCACTTTTACTCATTACACCTCTCCTTCGCCGCCTCTCTCCCCCTTCTCCCCATGTCTCTGTATCTCTCCCACTCAGCTCAGTGATTAGTGTATGATGTATTTTGGCTGCTGTTGTGGGCAGCCTATTTAGCATGTGGGTTGGTCTAATTTATGTTCTCTGGTGGCGAATGCAAAGGCAGTCTGATTTGCTTCTATAGAATAATGAATCTCCCAATGAGGCTAACACACCTGGATCTGCAGAATTCACTCAGGGAGTTTCAACTTTCTCAAAATTCAGTTCTTTTTGATTGTGCCTCTTTGGTACTTCTACCACAACAGCCACATGAACACCCACACTATCCAAATTGTGTTTGCTGCATGGCTCAGAGCTGCACCTCTCACTTTGAGGACTTTAACACAGCCTGCATTTGAGCCACTGTTAGTGAGGATGAGTGGGGCCATTGAAAGCACGTGTGGGTGGCAACATGTGTCGGGCGATTGATTTTTCAGTCTCATGCAAGTGGCCTACTTAAAGGCTTAGGGTTTAGATGCTTTTACATCTCAGTCAAATTGCACCTACAAGGTAAAGGCATTTTCAGATATCCATTTTCACACTAGTTTTTCTTCACATTCCTTAGTGCTTTTATGCATATTTTGTGAAAACCGATGGGTCCATATCTAGATGAGTGAAGTCCTTAACTAATCAAGACTTCTTGCGAGCCATAATTGTTGTAGCTTTGACCATCTTTGTGCAGAAAGAATGTACTTTTATATATAAAAGAGTGGATTTAGTCACCTTTCTTTGGGTCTCCAAAGCAATATGTTTGAGGTAGGCCTGTCATGATAACAAATTTTGCTGGGCAATTAATTCTCAGAAATTGTGATAAACAATAATATTGTTTGAAATTTGACAATAATGAGTAATTATTGTCAAATTTAAGAAGAAATTTTTGCTTAATTTTTGTGTGTAGTGCCTTTTTTACCACTGGATGGCAGTATAAGACTGTTTCAACTGAAGGATGGATAGTGAAGGAGTGAGCAGTGTGTCTCTTTAAAAAAATGGGAGGGGAGGCCCTTTGATGTGACGTGGGCTGTGTCTCGTTCCTGTTTCTCGGTTCTCAAAATGGCGGATGCTCAGTGTGGTTTGAGCTCTTTAGCATAGCATTTTTCACACAAAGCTTTTAATAAAAAATCGGTAAACAAGTTCTCAGCTTCTTTTTGCAGAGAAAAACAACTTTTTAGACAAAGGCAAGGGTTTCAACTGTGAATTTTGGAGCTTTGACAAGACAGAGGTTTTTATCCCGAGGTCGGCCTGTTAGCTTAGCACGCAGCTAAGCTGCTTTTAACGATCCAAAAACGCGATTTTGGACAGTTAAAATGGGTTTTAAAGAGAAAAGTGAAAGGGAGGGGTCAGTGAAGAGCATCAGAGTTGAACTTTTTGTCATCCAGTGTCTTCAGTAGAAATAGAGACACAAAGAAACGATAAAGCCGATAAATGAAAATGAGGTCGATAATTTTCATTTATCATGCGATTAATTGATTTATCGCGACAGGCCTAGTTTGAGGTAGCAGAAGGCTGAGTATATTTCTCTTGTTTTTTGCAGATTTCCTTCTTTAAAGCTTTTCTCTCCTACTTTGCTTCCCTTCTCCCACCTACCCTCCCTCCCTGCTGCCAATCCCCTTGATAACTGAACGTCCTCGTCCTGTCCTCCAAACCCCGCTGGCCTGCTGGGACACCTTACCTCGCTTACATACTCAGTCACTCAGGGATTCGCTCCTTCTTACCTCGCTTTCAGTGCCTCCTGCTCACGACGGCACAGTCTGCACTGTCACCCTCCCCCTGCTTTTTGAACAGATCTCTTCCTCTCCGTTTATCCCTTATGCACTTTTTTCATTCTCCATTTTTTTTCCCCCTTCCAGTCTTTCTGCTTCACTCCCTTACTCAACAAAATGTGATGGGGCTTGTCATTCCCACAATGATTAAGTAATTTTTACCTTCGTTTGTTGACTATTATGAGGTTTTGGTGCCATAGGAATTTTCCAGTTTCAAAATTAACAACAATTGTCTCTGTTTTGTCTTTGCAGGTGATGCAGGTGGTCAACGCTGATGCCTTGGTGGTCAAGCTAAACTCTGGAGAATACAAAACTATTCACCTGGCCAGCATTCGTCCCCCTAGGATAGAGGGAGAGGTACAAATATGTTTGTTTGTCTGCATACGTGAACCACTTTGCATGGAAATAATTGATACTTATTTGGAAAATTATTTTTACACAAAACCCTGAGTATTTTCTCTATTTTTACTTGTTCTTTCATCTTTTCTCACAAATGGGTGCTTATCTTTAGCAAACTATGGGATTAATTTTGACCACTTGGTGGCGCCCCACAGTTGAGTCACACGCAAACCCAGCAAAACGCACACACCCAGTGGTTGCAGCACTGCAGCGAGTGAGGCTAATCGATCCCCCCCTTTCTTTTCCTCTCTTCTTACCACACTCGTCATGTTTTAGAATCACTTCAAGACTGCAGAAACACACGTCTAGATGCCTATACCATTTACCGTGTGGCTCTGGGGAGTGTTTATTTGTTGGCACAGCTGACTGTGGAGGAAACACCTGAGTTTATGCAGTGATACACAGATGATTTCACAGATCTGTTTCCCCCCTGCTTCTTTCATCACTTTAGTCATACTTGGAATTAAGACTGTCATCACTTTGCTACAATTGTTTGCATTTGCTTTTCCTCCTAAAGGTTTATTTACATATTGTAGCTGAGATGTGTGAATATTTTAACTTTTTAACCCAAGGGGCCTGAAAATGAGTTACTTAAGAAAATGTTAGACACTTAGGAAGTCTTTCTCTTTTTGAAACTTATCTAAGAAAAAGGCTGCTTCTGTCACATCAGCAGTTGTAAAAGTCAGCTTTGTGATAGTCCTCTTTCTTTGTCTCTTTTAATTGTTTTTATTGACTCCCTTTTTGTGCATTGTTTTCATTTCATGGTTTAGTCTTTCCTGTTTTTTATTTATTTATTTATTTTTATCGCTGCTCGTTTGAGTTTTATTCTCTGCCCTTTTCCCCGCCCTCACCCTTCTCTGTCTCTTCACTGACATTGTTAGTGCCTCTCATCATTAGGATGCTACTTTGTATCTTTCCAGGCCTTTCATTTGTTCTCTCCTCTCCCTCCTTCACTGCCATCCTTTCCCCTCGGGTCAAACCCGCTGCGGTCGGAATGTTGACCTGCATCGATGACCTTTTGTGCACGTTAATTCTCTTTAGCTCTCTTTGGTTGTGATAAGCTTTTGGGATTAAGCATCGTTCCATTTTGTCTGTTGTTCCCTGCACTGCACAGCGTGTCCTCGTAACTCTTCTGGCTGTCCTGATTTTTCCTTTTCTCAATTTAGTTTCTTATTTTTTAATGCATTTCTGCTCTTTGTTTTGTCTGTCACTTTGTCTTTGCCCATGCCAGATGCTTCAGCAGTATGTGTTTTGTGCTTCATTACACTGTCGTATGTTGCAGGGAAGCTCAGTAGAGAGAGCCCAGATGTGAATGTTGGTGTGTGTTGTATTGGTGTGACATTGGTAGAGTTGTGCTGCTTTTATTTCACCTCATGCATATTTAATGGTGTAGTTTTGTATCAGCCTGTTGGAGTGCTGGCGCTGAGCTACCACAGTAATTTGTATTATTGGGGATAGAAATTTAGCTAATCATGAAATAATAATTGAAATTTTCGGCTTAGCAGATGGTCATTGGAGTGAATGGTTGACATTAACAGTTTCCTTTTTTAAGGATAAACCTAATAAATATGCAGTTTCTATCCAATCTCACAAAGGATTTCACCTAGTTTATATATTCATATAATGTCAGGAGAATCCTTTGCCTCTGTTGAAACATATTCTTCTTTGGGAACTTGTTTTGCACATATGTCGCTGCGATTCGTGTCGTTAATAAAGGCTGCACACGCTGCTGCTGCCGCTGCTGTTTGTTAGCTAGTTATTTCTGTCTACGAGCTAAAGAGACGCCTGCCTGTCTGTAATGCTGTTGGCTCAGCTTTGAGTGTCGTCGCTATGGCAGCCGTGCAGAGTTGGGACCGGTTTGCAGATGAGTCTTTTTTTTTTTTTTTTAAACTTTGTGAAATTTCCGTTTACCGAACAAAAACATTGTTTTGCATTCATTCACGCAACGGAGAATTTTATGTCCGGTCTCATTTTCCAGCCGAGCTTCTGTCTGACCATTAAATTAGGCAAGTAGTCTGTTGCTTGATGTGAGCCAGGGAGCTTAATTTCATGCTCTGTCCTCTCATCTTTACACATGCAGATGCGTTAGTTTTGTTTTTGTAAAATATCGTGAATGGTGTAATTTAGCATTTTTTGTTACCTTTGCATGAATGATTTTAATAGGCAATCAAATTAGGGTGAATCATCTTCAAATCAGCTCTCAAAGCATTTAAAAAACAGCTGAGGACAAATTTAGAGTATGATTTCTAAGCGTCACAACTGTATTTTTGTGAGGTTGTAAGGATGATTATTATCTTAAGGTCAAGACACAGCAGGTGCCTCTCAGCCACAGGCACTACACACACTGACATAATGTTAGCCAACGTTGTTGCAAGTGAGCTGGCTTCTTCCTTACAATTCAGACGGACACGAAAAGTGTTGGAAGTGCAACCTCATGCACGCACGGGCACGCTCCTTTAAGCTTGGTTAGCCTTTGTCAGGGAGCATCTTGAAAATCTGCGTCAGATTGTGCTCAAAGATGGGCGAACAGACATGTGTTGTGCGGTTTGCGTGTGCATATTAAAACGCCTCAAATGCGTTTATTTTAGCGTTGGTTGATCTTTAGTTAAAGTGACAACAAAAATTTAGAATGGAGAGCGAGCGCTTTTACTGTTGGAGTGTGCAGCCTTCACTAGGAGTCTGTAGGGAGGTTGTTTTTTTTTGGTGCCAGTTGTCATTATTTGCGTCTCTATGTGTATGTGCTCTGTTAGCTCGTTCGCTCTGCTATCAAGTCCATTTCCATTTTGTGTGTGGGTGTGTTAAAAGTGTGTGTGCGCTGTTCAGTAGTACGGAGGCCAGATGCAACGTACCAGGGCACTGATAAACTGTGACAGGTCCTATACCCCCCCCCCCCCCCCCCAACACACACACTTCACTTCTTCCCTCCTTTTCTGGATCGTTTTAATCCACCCCGTCCCCTTCGTCTTTTTTCCTCCCTGCTACTAATTGTGCTCAGAGTGACAGATCACTGGACCAATGGTGTTTGTGTCTGCAGGAAAACATGAAGTGTCCTCACTGGCTTTTATCTCACTCCTCTTTGTGCGTTGCAGCTGTGGGATGTCTTCAGATGTGTGAGATTCTGAGCTTGGGAGTTGGAGTCTGCTTCCCCCCTCCCTCTTTCCCTCTTTACTCTCTTTCTCAAATTTCTCACATGTGCAGCGGGACAAGCTGAGTGTAAACACGAGTGGGCAGAGACATCTATGCCTCTGAGTAGCTCACTGTTACACCCACTCGCACTCATTGTCTTTGTGTGTATTTGCTTTTACTTTGTGGCCACAGAGTCACAAGTGGATTTTGTCTTTTACTTGTCTTGTACTATATTTGTACTTATTTGGTTCAAGTAGGGTCAATGACAGGACTAACAGAGTCCCCAGAGCAGTCAACGCACTGTTCTTACGTAAAGCAATGCAGTGAGTATGGCTCATCACAATGCCACAGTGTACTTGCCCAGCCTTTCTCCATCTTGTCTGTCAATGACAACCAGTTTTTACCCTCATCTCCTCTATTTTGTTCCTTTTTTAGCTCCATATTAGGGATGCACAATATTATCGGCATGATATCGGCCGATATTAGCGATAGGTAAATCTCGGAGACTCGTCCTAAGCTGCGCAGCGCACTGTTTAAACCAACAGTTTTAGAGGGGGGGTGGGGGACACAGAGGCAGCCGCGCGCTGTTTACATCGACAGTTGTACAGTTTTAGACCAGGGTGTGTGAGAGGAGAGAGACACACACATCTCAGCCGCGTGCTGTCTGAACCAACATTTTTTTTTTTGCGGGGAAGTGTGTGGGTTTGCGGGGAAGTGTGCGACAGTTTTCGAGTGGCGGGGGTGCGTTCAGAGTGAGGGTTCGCGTGAAGGAAGAGGCTGCCTTTAGCTTTTTAGCTAGTGCACCTGCATTGCGACCGCTAGTTTAGCGTTACGTCAGTGCCGACAGGTGGTTGGGGGTGGGGCGATAGACGGGGCGCTTGGTTCTGTTGATGGGGCAGGGCGAGGCGCCCCGCTTGTATAATGGTAGGGGAAACACTGTATATATATTAATAGGAGTGTAATGGTACTCTGAAATCATATTTCGTTTCAGATTCAGATTCAAGGAGGGTTCGGTTAATTTTTGGTACAAAAAAGGCCAAAATAAAGACTTACAATTTGTTGTTGTTGTTGTTGTTGTTGTTGTTGTTGTTGTTGTTGTTGTTGTTGTTG